AAAAAAAAAACAAATTGAAACAAGAAAGATGAAATACAATGGTTAAAGTAACGTCCATCAAATTCTCGGACACGAATAATTTCACATCCAACTCAACAGCAGGTATGTCCAAATAAAACATACTTCTGCTCTACAAAACACCGTTGTATTCCTCAAACGTCCAATTCCCCATAAATACAATTCTTACACTATGAACAATACAACCCTCGCCCCCCCGCCACTACAAACAGTTACAACTATTAAACGAACATTAGAGAAACAGAAACCTGTTTTACCTACCTAAACATGTATATTGTAGCAACTGTCGCTAATCAACTGTGACCATCAGCAAAGAAGCACTGGATAACTCACTAAAATAAGCTCACTCAACCTTGTTCCCGTTCTGTAACCTTTGTAGCCGCCTTCTGTGCAATGTTTTAAACCCAAAGTAATCAAGCAGTTTATAGACATTTTTGTAACAAGTGGCAACGGAAAATTGTTGAAAAATTACCACACCGTCGACGTACTGACAGGAAGAAAATTAGAATACAGTAACCCAAAAAAAACCTTCGCATACATTTAAATCACAAAACAACCAAAAAAAAAAGAAAATGTCAAACCATATTCACACTCAAACCTTTCAGATTACAGCCTCAAGAACGTCATAACTTTCCAACATATTTATGTTATAAAGAAGCTGTCGAAAAAATCACAAAATAAAATCACAATTTGTCGCCAAAAAAATGAAAAAACTAAAAAAAAAGATAAAACAAAAATAGATTTCTGACCCCCTCTTGAAAAGTAAACCATTGCGATAGGCTCCCTTTCCCTAATTTATACAAGTGACTATACCAAAAGCAACACTGTTGTTCTTAACCAGAAGCATAAACCAACTCAACATAGATACTTCCAGCTATTCTACTTCAAAATAACAGCTTAACAAAACGTCCAGTAAACAATAGCAACAATTTTCCACGTCATTCCAAAGGTACAGTGAAAGGTACAATATCAACATTAGAACACCTGTCATGATCTGAAAAATGCATCAGTATACAAATATGTTAAATAAAAGAAAAAGCAGCTAATCGCCTCAGACACATTATAAAAAAAACGTCATACAGAAAAAGGATTCAACAAAAATGTCGACGCAACAACTTGAAATGTTTCTAGAATTTTTGAATAACTTCCTTGTGAAAAAAGCAGCAGTGAAAAAGAAACAAATTCACAAAGAAGACAAACAATTTGCACTTTGCCTGTTGATATACGACAAGCAAAGATGTGAGTAAACAAGTGATACAAGTGACACTATCAAATACTATACTATACATAGCAACAAATGACTATACACTCACTGTGTTAATCGAACTAAGCAAAACTATTCTTTCTACAATTACCGACATAGTTTAATTTACATATAAATATAACATTTTAGACCAAGGGTGCTCCAAAGTTTCCAAACTGTACTGTTTTTTTATTTTTTAAACTCCTCACAAGCATTTCAGCACAGCGGACTGTAAGAATTTACTTCCACCGTCTGATCAACAACCTACTGCATTTTCTTTGTCAGACTCTTCAAACTCCACTATTCTTCTGTTTTCACCTTCATTCTCACAATTCAACTAAAAAAACATGATTAATTATAAAAAAACTATTAAAGGTCACAAATGAAATGAACAGTTTCCCCATAGTTTACCGTAACTATACAGATTACCTTTTTGAAATTCTCTGAAAGAATTTTCATCACTTCGGCATGCTTTCTACCATCCTCTCTTAGTCTTTTGTAATTTGCCTGAACGTATTTTGCGAAAGGATTCGCTTTTTTCTCTTTCATCTCCACTCGCTCTCCTCTAGCATCATGCAAGACAAAAGAACCCTTACAAATGCCACACTTGAACCGATTTAGATCCAGTGATTTAGAATGGCGTTTTACCCTAAAAAACTTATTCTGCAGAAATTTCTAATAATTTTCAGAATTTTAGGTAAAAAATTCAAAAAATAAAAAATAAAAAAATGGTTTAAAAACAGCAATTTTCGCACTAATTCAATTTTCATGGTTCTTTCATTCAAGAAATGAGAACAAAATGGTCAAAAATTAAAAAAATTTTCCTTTGCAAAATAAGTTTTACAGAACAGAAAAAAATAATTAATGTGTAACTGACGTTTGACCACAAGTGTCACAAATGTAATGATATTTCGCATCAATGGAATACTGATGACATCGCTGGATGACCGGAAGACGTGGAAATAAATTCATGCATTGACGCGCCCTTTAAAGAAACGAAACAAAAGATCAAAATAATCTTCTCTTGAAGTACGGTATCACAACTAAATGTAAAGTGTAATTCTATTGCACTTCTATACCAATATGACGTTACAAACGAACCACTTTTGCCAAGCTGGACCATGACGTCCAAATGCAATTTTATCGACAACAAACACCGCAGCGTGACAAAGTTCATGGAGTAGAGTATCCCTAACCCGGTCTAAACCAACCAGTAAATTGCTTACTAGATTGTAAAGCCGAAAGTAATAAAGCATAAAGGAATATTTTTTTGGCCAAAAATATAAATCATTTTAAAAAATAACCTGGTCGATTACACACTTTAACAGAAAGCTCTATTTTTGCTGTAAAATTCTTTGTACATAGACAACGGCCAGCAGTTTTCAGCAGACGCGGATTCCATTCAATGCTCATTCCACTATCTAGCTAAAACTAATAACAAAGATAAAAAAAGGTATCCTCTTGCCTCGAAAAAAAACTTTTTTTTTCAACCATAAACCTTGAGAAATTAAAAAAATTCCTAAAAGAACTATGCTCACTTTCCCATTAAAACAAACTGTCCTGTAGATTCGGAAGAGTCTTTCTGTGAGTTCATCACGTACTTTGACGAACTTTCTTTTTAAATAGATTCTAGAGTAGAGATGTTCTTTGTTTTCGGGAGTAAGAGCCAAAAGAAATGCTTCAAGGCGTTTGATTTCCTAAAAACAAGCTCTAAGTGGCTGCCCAACAAGTGATTTTTAATTTAAAGGAACAGTTATCGTGAATAGCAAAACATAGACCAATGTATTTTTTCATTAACAAGGCCATAAAAAATAAACAAACCTCCCGAGATAACACAAAATCTTGAACGCCCAGTGTAGGTTCTCTTGAAAACAGTTCATACATTCTTTTATCGACTTCATTATAGTTGTCTGAGACGAAGCTCTTGCCTATGCTCACAAGTAAACAAATGACAAAATAATAATGTTCTAGGTACTAGAAATCACAAGTTCTTAAAATGTAAATGACAAAAATTTGTCTGATAAACTAGATAATTACAGCTTAGTTAAGAAAATAAAACAATATAAAAGTTTTGAATTTAAATACAAACCATTGTGCTCCTTCAAGTTTTTAGAATATTTAGTCTTGAGTAGAGAGTCTCTACTGGGTACTTTTTCAACAACCTTCTTTTCTTGCCTATGAAATTCGCTTGAATCTGAGCTATCTTCATCAGATGAAAATTCACTGGATTCTTCATATTCATCATCTTCCGACTCACTGCTAACCTCGGGTGACTCATCGTCATCAACCACAAAGCTGAAAAAAAAGCGCTACTTTAATGCGGGTTAAGGAGATTAAATACGTAGCTGAAATGCTATTTAATAAAGAGAAAGTGGGAAACAAGTTCTTAAAAGTAACACCAAACTTCCCATAACTACATTTACTTAAACTAACTCTTTCAAATCGATTGTCGTCCTTGATCTCTGACTATGCTCCCGACTAAGTTCCCGCTTTATCCGTCTAATGTCTATGATAATTACTCCGTTAGAGAAATTTCTGATGAATAAGAAAAAGTAAAGAACGATAGTCTAAGGTGGTTCCTGATACTTGATTTAACGCAAAAACCTTTAAAAAATATTAGTATAATTAGCTGTTCTAACGTCACTTTCAGAACACGGTGAAAAAACTACAAGAAAAAATATTATCGAAGAAAAAACAAACAAATTTCGTAAGAGTCGTCAGCATCTTCCTCCTTTTGACTGAGATCTTTGCTTAGGGAAATGCGAGATCCATGTTGATCAGATCCTCTAATAAAAATAACTTGAAGCCTTTGAGGAACCATAGAAAATTTAAAAAATGATGAAAAATATTATCCTCTTCAAACAAAATACATACATAAACTTCAGATACCCTTCATCACCGGAACTCGTTGTTTGTGTGCTAATTTTATCGGAGTAAGGCGATGAATTAGATGGTTCTGCAACTATCGCACTGTCCAAAAACCTTTTACCCGCGCTGCGACCCTGTTACAATTAAGGTTCAAGTTCAAAATAAAATGATTCAGCAATTATTATCAGATTTTACTATTAAACAGCAACTCTAAAAATCCATAAAAATTACAAAACCACATTTATACTGCGGCTCATATTTTTTAATGGAAATGCCAATCGACGAAAATTTAGGGCATTATTTACAGAAGCATGGGACTTACTTGTCTCAAGCCAGAACGTAGATGCATAGAAAATGGAAAAAATTTTTCAGCCTCAGATGACTCTAAAAATTCTGAGGAGCCAGAAGAAACAGACTTATTTCCTTCCTGATCTAAAAATAATTCAGCTTTATTTCGGGACAGTAAGAAGTAGGATTTAACCAATAATTCATTCTAAAACCCGGTTTAGTTTTAAGATATTTGCGATTACAACGTTGTATTCGTTACGAACCATCAGAACTGGAAACTTTTACAAGGAAGCTATCCTCTCGGTAACTATCGTCGGAAGTATAGTACTCATTATCAGTATCAGCTGGTCGGACGGGCGAATCATTTACCTCTTTCGTATTAATGTTCAGTACAGACACATCATTACTTAATGAATGCACTTCCCTAAAGTTATAAATTATAAAGCTTGAATGCTCTAAAAAATTTTACAGAAAAATTAACTAACCTAGTTACAAAATAGAAAAAAAGAAATTTTTCCACTTTGCTGGTGAGTAAACCTCTCGACGAGAAAGTGGTGTAAATTTTGATCTACAGAACTACAAAACCTTACTCGCTATCATTCTTCTTTGGAACGTCTTCATCAAATCTTTGGAAAATCCGGGGTAAGTCTGGCTCAACTTCTGGAGGAGACGAACCTCCCGTGCAAGACCCTGTGGTCACTGAAATCTCGTCATCACTAGAATCATCGAACACAATGCGACGCAGACCGCGAAACATAATAAAATTTGGAACCTGAAAGTTTATCAGATTTATTTGAGATTACAGTAGAGAAACCGATCAAGATCTCGCTTGAACATGCAGTCGGAGACAATCCAAGTGAGGACATGAAATAAAGTTTTAACATAACGAGCATAGCTAAGCATCCCGCTACCAAACAGGAATATGCTCCCTTGAAGCTACGTAGCCGATGTAGCAACAATCTATTTCAAATTTTAAATTTCCCGCATTAATTTTTCGTTTCAGTTTTTCACTCGTTGTTTGACAGCTTCAAATTAAGAAAAATATCAGTTTTTCCTTATTACCGAGCCATCGGCTACATTGCAGCAGCGGCTGGTTCATTCAGTTCCTGATGTTTGGAGATGGCACTGGTAATCAGCAGTATTTGTTTATATTTTCGCAAGTGCATCTGGGTTTCCGTTTGGCCGAGTTCGAGAGCATTTGTTCTCTATTCAATATTGCATATGACCGGTCATCCCTGGAAACAAAGGTCAGTTTTAATCACCTTGAGGATTTAATGGTTATAGAAAAAAACATGGGAATAGTTTAGAAAAACATTTGTGCATGTGCATCTAAGAAGGGTGAATTTCAGATTATCTCAAGCTTCAAAAGAGTAAGCGGCATTCTTTTAAAAGCTTTGAAAGTGTTCATTGCAGAAAAGTGTTTTTGAGAGTGAGAAATGCTTTAATTTTTCTATCCATGCAAACTAGGAATGGGATTTTTTTGTGTTTTCAACAGTGTCGCACTATCCGTTTCGAAATAGTAGTCTGAAATTGAAAAATGACGTGTTACGCTTCTCTTGATTCAACTTAATTTCTTTGCATTTCTCACTCAATGTTCAGACATCTCATTGATTACTTGGTTTATATCGCGTTTTTAAACTGAAAATGTTGCTGTAGATTAGCAGATTCGTAATAGAGCTGAAAAGAGGAGCTTTGTCAGAGCGAAGAGCGTCAGAAATTTAAATGGTTTTTAATTTGGAAATGTTCGTTAGCAGAATTTTGCATCAAAAATCTTTCACTTGCTACAGTCCTTGTGCGGAAGAAACTCCTTACTGACCTCAATTCATAGATAGAGGAGCAGAAAGAGGCAAAGTTGTCTTTGGGTTTTGGTGGAAAGCTGTGGTCATATATAAAACATTTCCTAACATTGCGTTCAATCCGTCCTGGGTAATCTGAAACTTGTGGCTATATGAAGAAAAATATAAAGTTTTTGGAATTAGATTTGTAAAGGTTGACGGGACAAATAAATAATATAACTTCTTCTGAGGACATCAAGAATTGTAAAGTGATTTTAAAGACTTTTTTTAGTAGAAGAGAGAGAAATCCTTCGTGTTCAAAGAGCTTTTCAAACATGATAGTACTGAGGTAAAGAAATATCAGGTTTTTTTGAAAACTTTTTCCTTCCTTCTGTTTATTATTCAAAAGCGACACAGTTTTTAGAAACATGTCCTAGTTGTTGAGCTCGCTAGTGATCACTGTGTTCAGCAGATACTTTCTCGGTCTATGCTGGTTCATTCGGCATTAAAGCTTTTTTCCTGTGCTGCAAACTACGACGATCTGTCTTCGGACCTTCGAGAAAAATCTACTTACTTGAAAGTAAGTCGCAGATTAACACTGTTACAGATGTCTTTAGTTTCCTTTATCATCAACATTTTCGGTGCCACTTTATGCATATGGTACAAAAAAACTAACGTAATTCTTGCTTGTCATTGCTGTCTTAACCGCTGCATTTTCTAGCAGTTTAACTCAGGCAACCAGTCCTTTGCTGTTCGCCTTCGCTCTGTAGGAAAAAAAAGAAGCCACCAGTATTGTCTCGATGTTATTGATGTCCGGTTTTTTATTCTTACTTTGTTTTGTCTTTATCAGGGGCTTGAAAGGAGGTAGTGGTAAAATGATTGCAGATCATATTACGTTTAATTTGTAAAATGTTTTTTAATAGTAGATGAAAGAATCATTGTTTGTATAGTAGAGTTTCTTCTTACCTTCTCGGCAAAGATATGATTTTTTTCTTTTTCAAACTGACTGCACAGTATCAGCCAATATTTGACCTATACAAGAAGATATGGTAGAAATTTAACTTATAAAGCAAATGGCAGATCTAAAAAGATTGAGATGTGGTATAAGTTATATGCAATTTTTGCTGTTGGTAAACTTTTAACGATTTTTATGAGCAGTAGAAACAAACAATTTTTATATTAGTTTATTCCTGGAAGATGGGGAAGTATTTTTCGTTTCATCTTCATCTGGAATTTCACTTGTGAAAGACCGTACGGAAGAGACTTCTTAAAAAGACTGAGGGTTTAGAAAAAACAAAAAAAAAAATGTTATTCCATTCTTCAAATAGCCTTTTTACATTCTCGCTGACTTGCTGAGTTGGTCTTTTCCGACTTTCTTCTTTGTTTTTCCTTACAATACGATTGGGGGGGGGAGTGAAGATAAAGACAAATTTTTTCAAAACTTGACAATCTTAGGATTTAACATACAGGAAGCATTGGTTTTCTTTTTTTGCGGTATATCGTCTACTGGTAAATTATTGATAAGCAGAGTCGCTACTTACCAATTCATGCCGTGCTTTCAAAATGCAGACTTTGCATTTTCATTAGGGCATACCGTAAAAGATTGAGGAACTTGAACTATTTATTAGGTTTCCAAAGGCAGTTTCCAAAGGCAACTAGATTCTAGAAATTGATGACATTTTAGTTGTCTTCACTTTTCTTTGCGTAATTGAGTTATATTTGGCTTGAGTTTTATTCACTGATCGTATATATACATCTTTTTGAAAAGTTAGAGCAATGCGTGTGTCGTTAATTCAAATGAAAAGCCAAGATTCGGGCAGCTCCGAAAGTTTTAGATTTGCTTATACGGTTTCAAAATGGGGCTGTGCTGGGGCATTTCAAAACTAGTGATGAACAGAGGTTTGGTGATGATAAATATCGATCTGAATTAGTTTAAGTTGAAAAATTTTTTTTTCTTTCTATTTTTTAAATAGTTGACTGTCACTTGCAAAAATCCTATTCTTAATTCTACATTTTAATTGCCATTTCGTTTGTAACTTTGTTAGACCTAAGCGGCTATGGCAGAATTTAGTTTTGATTTGGAATTGATGTACAAGAAGCTCTAAAACTTGTTTGGCGCATAGAAATTCTTCTTGTTTTAAAATGTGAAAGACTATTTTGATTTAAATTTTCTATTTATCGATATGGGAAAAAAGTAGCTATTAACAGAAAGTAGTCAATGCTTATTGTGAAATTCGTGGTACACCTTGGTTGGCTTCTGTTGATAACTACTTTTTCACAGCTTTTGACAATGCTTGGCTTAGCAGATGTGAAAAAAACGGGTGGGCTGGGAAGCGCTTTTTTCCTGCTTGTCAATTTTAGTGGTTCCACCTTTTGAAGTGATTAAGCGAAATTACTGACGTCAAATTGGTGGTAGTTTATTGGTTTACTGAGGATTCGCGCTGGCTAACAAGGTCGTTTCTGAAATAGTTGTCAACAATTTAAATTTACCTGAAAGTCTCGACTAATTATGTCTAAACTTAAAATTGCCACTGAAGTGTGTAATTTGACGTAATTGATTGTAATACATTTTTCAAAAAAAAACTCGATTCCGGGTGTGAGATGGGAAGCTGTTCATTCGTTTGAGCTTTGGAATTTCTATAATTAAAAAAAAGGAATCAAATGCTGATACATAACACTTAGGATCTGTAGGGATTTACAGTTGCTTGACAAAGCCTTTATTGCGTCTAAGAAAAAAGGTAGTTTAAATTTCGATGTATTTTCAAAGTCATTCTACTTTATGCAGAAAACTTCATACCATTTTTTTTAGAAAATAGTTTCTGTTTTGCCACTAGAGGAGGCTCCTGTGGACTTAAAAAATCCTTGTAATGTTTTTACCATAGTGGAAGAATTGACGGGCGAAGTTTCAAAACAAAAATTCCAGGCTGTTTATTTTGGAAAGCTGGTTTGTGTTTTGCGTCGTTGCAGTTATTCTTTTCTTTTGCTTTTTCTTTTTTCTCTGTTTTATTTTTTTTGATCTTGTAAGTAGTACAAGCTTTTGATCAATTTCATTCTAATTTCTTTTTAACTGAGTTTGATTTATGGGGTTACTTGTAAGGCTGCGGTAATTGACTGTTAATTATTAACTAGAAGACTTGAAGTTTACTGTATTACTTGACGCAAGAACCGTTTCTTAACATTCCTGGCTACCTTGAAGTGTGATGTTGTTGTTACTTGTAGTTTTAGTTCTGCTTAGATCGGTTATGGACAGTCGAAGCTGAAAAGCCGGTATAACTTGACAGATCGGTGTTATATTGGTAACACAACTATGGATCCCGAGCTATCTTTTATACAGGCAAATCTGGTGAAAGCAAATCGTGGTGCTTTTACTCTTGACCCTTTTTGTGGTACAGGTATGGTAACTTGATTTTTTCAAAAAATATTTGGGCAGTTTAGTTTTCTTTTAGTTTTTTCCACCTATTTGAAGAATACTTAATTGAATCCTTGTGAAAGGATGAATTTTCCAAGCACATTTTTTACTTAATGAAACGATATACGGAAATCGTATTGGAGCCATGTGTTCTAGAAAATTTTCCAATGATTTTTACAGGAGGTTTGCTTCTTGCCGCTGCGCATTTTGGTGCATATGTTTTTGGTACAGAAATCAATTACCAAATAGCTCGAGCCTGCGGTATGTTGTAGGTCAGTTGCATTTTAGCAAACTTCTAAAAGACTTACTTTTTCATTATTTAGGAAAATCCTCTCGCGTAGGTGCAAAATATTTGGGGCCTCATGAGTCTGTAGCTGGAAATTTTTCACAATACAATCTAGATGAGCATTTTGTTTCACTTTTAATTGCTGATGCCAGTCGACACGAGTTATGGCATTTACCTAAATCCGGTCTTTTTGATTCCATTGTTGCTGATCGTACGTAACTAAAACTTTTCAAAGAAAAATTTTGGTTTTTCGTGGTTTAATCTTTGTTATTTAGCTCCAAGATAGTAGGTGTTCTTTTTCCTTTTGGTTTTTAGCACCATACGGTATTCGAGAAAAAGGGAGTAAAGTTGGTAACAAGGAGAGGAAGGCTCATTGGACGTTACCAGGCGCAACACAGTTAGTTATATTATGCGATTAGAGTTCCAAAGTTTTGATAATAAGCTGTCAGTGATTAGATTTTGTAAAGTATAATTTTAACGCTGTTGTAATTGACAGCCGGATCTCTTCTTGCGAAAGTAAAGTTTGTGCCTTTTTTAGTTTTTTATGCTTGTTTTTCTTAAAGATAAAGAAGTGAACATATTTCAGTGCTACACATTTTCCAGAAAAGGCTAGATATAAAATCTCTTCAGTATTCTTAGACCTTGTTAATCTTGCTGCAAATGTTTTGGTCGTAAATGGACGTCTTTCCTTCTGGTTTCCTGTGTTTGACGAAGAGTGAGTTTTTTGTTTTACTCAGGAGATAAAGGATTTTATTTTTTTACAGATATATTGGTACCCGCAAAAGCATTAAATTACTATAATTATATTTTACAACATACATAATTTGGATGATCCTTGGGTCGTGTAAAATCTGTGACTGACTTTTCACATTCATAACCACTAGGGCACGGGTCATTTCCGTCGTCTAACAGTGGATTGCAAATCAGTTTAGAAAAACTTCCTAACGAGTACGCTGTGCGACCTCCTGGACAACCTGTAATGGGGGATTTTTAAACATCTTTGTGACTGGACACTTACACCATTTTGTACCTTTTGGGTTCCCAATTTTTAAAGGTTGAATTTATATTGATTAGATGCATCTGCCAGTAGATTTTTTTTGCAACAGGATGATTAGTTTCAAAAACTATGCAGTTATTTGATTTTCCTTCAGTTTCCTTTAGAGTTCCTACTTGGGAAAATTGCATCTTTTTTTGCACTACAGCAGACACGTTGGTTTGTATATATACTGTATGTGCATTCTGCGTCGGAGTCGCTGCAGTCTTTAGGGCTTGTACACGAATCTGATCCGGACTGAGAACTCCATTCGTAGATACATGGGTTATCTTGAAAAGCATTGATTTAAAATCTTTGAGTCATTATTATTTTTTCTAATTTATCTGGTTTTCGAAGGAGATGAAAAATTCTTAGTATGAGTTATGAAGGAAACTCAAAATTAGAATATTTCTTATTTGAAGTGATTGGATAATTTAAAAGTGACGTACGTGTTGCTGCAGTATACACAGTATTAACGAACAGCAGTAGTTTTAAATTAACCATATTATTCCAAAATTGCGCTGCACTTTATCTAACAGGGCTTTTAGATCGAAGGTCTATAACTGAATTGTTACTGGTTGATTCCTGCCAATTGTGGAGATATTCTGTAATTTAACTTTGATAAATATCTAAACAACTTACTTAATTCACGTTGGAAGATCTGTAACTGAAACGTTTTTTTAGCTTTAAAAACAAGTTATTGGCTTGAACATTTAAAAATTTAAAATTAAAGCTACCTCTTCAGCAAACCTTTATTTAATGGAAATGAAATTTACCTAAGGAAATTTTTAGCAATGACGAGACGACTTGGTCACTTTGAAAATGGAAAGATTCCTATTTAGTCGGGAAATTTTTACAATGGCGTTGTTACGTTATATTTTCATGCTTTTATGTGCTAGCCGCCGTTTTGTTGTATTTTTTTGCAAACAAAGTTTCAATATAAGCTGTGATATGACATTAATTTTTTGGTTTTCAAAACTACACTTCGTTCAGTGAAAAGTTTATTGTCATTGTTGAGCCGTATTAAATTTTAGGTTTCAGTTTCAAACCTTTTTTTTCTTGACGAGTTTACACAGCTTGCAACTGACGCTTTTTGAAGTTCTTTTTTTACAAAGTTGGTTTGGAACAAAGTGCCCTTACTGCGAACCTTTTTAATTTTGGGAACAGGTTCCAAGCAGTGTACGATAAAGTAAACAATTTGGTGTTTAGTTTTTTGTGCTTCTTAATTAAGGCAGACTAGTGAATCGCGGATTAGTAAAATTGTTTATTTAGAAAAAGATTATTTTTTTTGTTCTCATGTCGGTCAAAAAAGAAATCCTTTTTCGTTTTTTTTTCAAGTTTTGCAGTATTGAATAGTCTTTACCGCACTTGGTTCTTATTAATGTTCGTCTAAAAGTAAATTTGATTGTTTAGTTAAATTTCTTCATACTTCGGCTTTTCTTTCCGCTGGTCAATTTCTGAAGCTAATTAGTCGGCTAAGTTTAAGCTTTGGTCAAGTTTTGCATAGTTTATTTTGGAAAAGTAAATTTTGAGTGAAATTGAACTTGTGGTTTTTTTAGGAGCATGTGACATTTGTTGTTATAAGGTTTGAATAAATCGGATAGTCAATGTAATTACTTTTAATTATCTAACCAAACAACAGTGAGCGATTGCTAAAATTAGAATTAATGTTGTTTGCAACGCGTTGGTTAACTGTCCCAAATAACTTTTTAGAAAAGCTATATTTTCATCGTGTAGTACTTTTTTTGCATTAATAGGTCATTCTTTGTTGATATAACAACTTACTCCATTCTCTTCGCTTATATTGACTGATTTTAGCACTAGATTTACAAGCAGACGTACTTTGGGTTTTTCTACTAATATCAATCTGTATATGGCACTGTTTTTTATAAGCTTTGGTTTTAGAGTTGTAAGTGCTTCCTAGCAAGTGAAAAGGCAGAAACAAAACCTGTGGTATTTTGTTACATTGATTGCAGGTTGCAGATTCTTTGTTCCAAAAAATTTGGAATTATTATTCATATAAAATTCTGTAGTAAATTGAGTAACAGCATTGTACAAATAAAAATACTCGGAGAAGGAGGAAGGGAACAGAAGAGACATTATGAAAGTTTGAATAGAGAAGTAGTTTGAGCAAAATTTTATTGGCAATTTACATGTTTACGCAACAATATTTTGCTATTCCAGATTGTTATTTTTAGTTGCTATCCTTGTTTACATTTGATGCCCTGTATAATTGTTTTTCTTACAATAACACTTTGAAAAACAGTTTCTTTTCTTTGGCCTATCCTCATTGTTACATTCATTCAAAAGGGGGCCAGTTTATGCAGATATTTTATTGTCAAGGTTGTTTTTATTTAGGAAAAATTTTTTAGAAGTTACAGCAGCATTTGCAAGCTAACTGTTTGGTTTTATTTATTTTTATGAAAAAAAATTTGAAGTATTTTGGTTTTTGATGCAACTAATGTGATTTAGATATTCGGAAAAGGTCTTACCAAAGCACGAGGCATTGAAGTTAGTAGCGGATTGTAAGCAGCCACTTGCTGGTAGATACTCCAGGTTGCTTGTATTCTTTACCTTCTAGACTTATTGGTTATGTTTCAGATTTGGCGCCTGATGGGTACTATTTTACGGTTTTACCGTAAAGTTTGAAAATGATATTGAGCGTTTCAGACACTTACTGGTATACGAGAAAACCAGAATCCCAGTGGAAGCAGAAAAAGCTTACTTCGAGGCTGACTGTTATAGGGAAACGACATTTAGAGAACGAGTTTTTTCAAAGAACACGTATTAATGTGTGATCTGTGTCGGTTGTAGTTTTATAGTTAGTTTCTTTCAAGTGTTATTGTAGTTATTGTTGTTTTTACTGGTACTATTATTGTTATTGTTGTCTTTATTATGATACTGATGATATCTGTAATTTACTTCTTTGCTCAAAAGTTTTCCACTTTCTCAGAGCAGTTTATTCATTGGTCTGCTAGACAGTGGCTGAAGCGCTAAGAATTATTTTTGACGCAGAGCAGCTCTTTACTGTTTCGTGGCATATAGGGTTTCATTTCTTATGCTTAGCCTGTCAATTAAGCGTTTGTTCACTGTCATTATTGATGTTTTGCTGTAGCTTTTTCATACGGTGTTGAAAGCATCGTCCGAACTGAGTGCTACTTTGAGAAGGATAAAGTTTTTGAACTGTTTCCAGTCAGCTTTTTGTTCAAACAAGCTTTTTTTCAACTTTGTGACGGCTTAAATAAATCATGCCTAGAGGGAAAGGGGGGTGACCCATATATGTGTCAGCTTTTCGCACTTTTTTGACGAATTTATTATGACGGCGCGTAGATGTGATGGTGATCAGTGAGACAGTTTCTTAAAGTATTAAAAAAATTTGCTGCAATGCAACGGGTCATCAGCGACTGAGTTCTTTTAAAGTCATTTATTTCTAAGCTGAGGGAAAGCTTGTTGAGGCGGACTACGATTTCCGAGGTAGTGGTCAGCTTTGTTGAACTGTTTTTTATCGGGACATAGAGAAGAAAGTGGCATTGTGTGAGCCTCAATGTAGGTGATTACATGTGAAAGTGTGCACACCAGGTTGTGGATATCGTGTTAAAAAGAGTGTTTAGTGTTGGGACAATGCTAGTCTCGTCTTAAGGGGTAAGCTGCAACTCTGCTCTAATTGACTTTTGGGACACTATATAAGTGATGATGAAGAAAACACTGGAAGTTTTAATGAACACTGCACTTAAATGGAAAAGTGTGACTGAGTAAATGCAACACTTGTTCGGATTACATTTCATGCACTCAAAAATTGGAAGTTTTTGAGGGAACTGAACTTTGAAGACTGGGAGAATTATACATTTTGAGCTAATTGAGATATAACTTATGCTTAGTAAGCAAAGCCTTTGAAGAATTTTTTGACTTTTACACTGTGAGGAATGTTGATGCACAGCGGTATTTTTTTATAGCATCTTTTGCGATAAACTTGTTGAAGTCATTATGAGGAATGAATAAAGAGGCTACTCTATACCCAAAACTAGCAAGTGGACTAATTATGGCTACCTGTAAAACTTCTAAAATTGGTAAGGAACTAAATAAATTGTAATGAGATGCTTGCCATTAATCAGATGAATGAACATGCATAAAGCTTCCTATCTGGAAAGATCTTTGATTGAGGTTTGAATAATCTTAGATATTGGAACAGAAGAACTAATAAATGTTTTTTCTATTAATGTAGCTGTTTATCTCTAACTTTTTTTTTGACAGTCTTGATCCATCAAAGTAAAGATATCTGTGCGTTCAAAACAATTATAGCACAATCTGAGCGAATAATAGAAACCCCTTTACTGCTCACTCCTAAAGCATAGGCATTGAGCAGACAACCGATGTGAAAATGTGGAATTTAGCGAATTATAGCCTGTAGATCTTGAAAACCCCAGGGTCTTACGGCAGATTACATTGCCTATCGTCAATAATTTGCAAAGTACCGCTTTACTGTTGCTTCATATGTGCACGACAATAAACGGCTAGGCCAATTTTTGAAAGGTGTATGAGTCGCTTGAAAATAAATTGGATAAAACTTCAAAATTTAAAAATGCAGTCTTTCTAACATGATATGATACTAATCTTGAACTCGAGTTGCACTTAAATGACAAGGCTTTTTAGTTTGCCATCACTGGATGCAGTTTCTAAAAAAGAAAAAAACAAATTTTTTAACTTATGTGCGCCTCTATAACTTGGTAATTTGGTTAATTTTAAAATTCCAAATGCTTTTTCAACTGTTTGATTCTTGAAAAACTCAAATTACTTACTAATAGTAAATACTTTTTGTAGTGTTCACTGTTAACCTGTATTTATTTTAGTCTCTTTTTATATTTGAAGCTTATATTTTTAGAACATTGATCAAACAAAAACATTCGTAACTATCAGCCAAATAATTTTGCGCCAAGTATAAATTTCAGTGCTTTTTAAGCAGCAATTAAGTTTTTTTTGCTGCTTAGCTAAAATCAAGTAACCATTGTACGTAATAAAAAGTTTTGACAAATAACTATTACTTTGTTTTTGCAGTTATAGCAAAAGAGAAAATACTTTTTTTTTCGGGATTTTTTTTTTGATACACTATCACCAACAGTTGGCATAATGATAAGCAAAATTTGAACAGCTTAAATCCGGCAGTAGTAAACTGCTTTTCAGAATGTAAATAAACTAAGGAACACATTTGGAGCTTCGATATAGAGAGCTACTTTTTATTACTTTATCATTAACAAATATCATTAGGTAAAAAGTACCTTTTTTGGTTAAAAAAAATATAGAGATATTAAAAATACATACATTGGTAAAAAGCACAACAGTTAAATAAAATGACTTGTGAAACGGAAACTCAGACACCAGTAGGATACGCTGTTGATTATTTCATTATATTATGAACACACATTACCTGTACTGTAAAAAAAACCAATGCGAAATGAATGAATAACATCCGCAAATATACACAAATTTTTGGCATTCTGACGTGAGATTAGAAACCGGGAATAAACTCGACGTCAAATAATAGTTGGGACTGCATTTTAATGGAATGCAAATGAAAAAGCATAAATTACATCTTCAACTATTACAATTTTTTTCAACAAATAATTAAGACTAGCTTTTTTTCACTTATTTAGGAAATGCTTACTGTTGCATTCGACCACAACTGTTCTAAAATACAATTCAGCACCGCTGTTTCCGTTACCTTTCATTTCTTCTCTTATCTCTTTTTCTAGGACAACGATTCAGATTGTGTGATTTAGTATTGAAAAGCACCGCAGTATACCAGACAACATTGATTTGTTGTACAAATTTATCTCTCTACAAATACGTGTTAACAAAATTTCTTCTCTAAACTTTTCTGGTGACTAAACACACCGATACAAAAGTTTAACTCAGAAAAAGCGAAAGTAAAGACACGGCAGAAAAAAGTCTAAAGCTGTTTTTGCCAACAAAACAGAGATACTGTTTAGGCGCAACCACAGTTTTTCAACCACCTGATTTTTAGGTGCAACCTCAGGTACACTTGTTCCACCGTAAAAATGTAACCGACTGAAGGCAACTATTGAACAGATTTCATCAACTGTCACTGGATTCACGTTTTAAGCAGGTGTTTCGTACCCATTCCCAAAATTCGCCTCGTTTTCCCTCATAACCGTTTCGCATTCGTGATCGAAGGCTAATACTCAAATGAAGATCATAATGCTCCTCAGTAGCCGGTTTCCACGTTGGTCCCGGGAATCCTTGAATGCCATTCGGATCTCTTAAATTTTCCAACAACTTAAACTTACAATGAAGCTAACAGCAGACAGTCTATAAAATACTGAACAGTTGCGTAATACTACCGCTCACGGGATTCTAAAGTTTTACCCATATTTTGCGAAATTGGTCCACATCTTAGTCATCATTCCCAGAACAAGTTTATCTTGGGCGTTTAATTTGAAAGGAAACACGATGCTCTGTCCAAACAAATATGTCATTTCAGTGCAGTGTGTTGCTGCTGTAAATAACCAAGAAACAGTGCAATTTTAGTAGAGCTTAAACGTTATTTGATAAACATTGATTTGGGAAGACAAATTTGCATGAATTAACACTTCTAAAAATACATCAACTAAGTTACAAAAAGTCCAAGCTCTTCATTTTAAAACTGTGTTTATAATAAAGCTAACCTTTAAAGGGAAGTCGAAATGATAAAAGTCCAAAACTTTTTGGATTGAAATAGTCGAAGCTGTACAGATACACAGTATGACCCGCTTTACACATTGATTTTACATATGAATAAGTACCATTATTTACAAATAGATCGCTGTATAACTGAAAATTAATTTATTAACTCATTCAGATAATTCTTCTTTAGTTATCACTAATGTAATCGATAGTGACAAAAACTAAAAAAATTTTTTTTTTTGGATTTCTCAACATTATTGCCCAATTGATTTGCTGTCTAATTTTTAAAGGTTAAATCAGATGATAAACCTTGGTATAGACTCGAGTTACAGCACTTTTGTCGTTTTTATCAACGCCTTGCAAATACATTTCCTGAGCCTTCTGCCGAAGTTCTTTGGCGCTACGATATTTATTGTTTGGAATTGCAGTACGGAGCAGTTTTTCAATACCTTCCAGATTAAAATGGTGCGAACCAAGAGAAGCTGTAAAATAATAAAACTGTTGAAGTTTTATAGTTTTCGCGTTTTGAAGAACACCGTCTTTTTCTAACTTAAAAAAAGTTGTTCTAGAAGCTATCCAAATTAATTGAAGATGCTTATAAAACTACAAGTTAGACAGTATTGCTTAAGTTCCTGTTCAAAAATCATTTTGAAAAATTTGATAACTACACTTTTACAAGTTTCATTGCTTCAAAGGTACAGTCCAAATTTTTACATCAATTGTAAACGCTAAACTCAGAAAAGTAAAACCGTTTTTTTTTTCCCAGATGACATATTTTAAATTTTTTTTGTTATTTTAAAAAGTGCTTATGCCCAAAATAAGCTTTGAAACAAAGTTTTTAAATTTTTACTATATTTTTTGTTTGCTTATTGCTTTATATTAAAAAAACAATCGACCAACAAATCAACTTTCTAATAACATTTAATGAGCCAAAAAAACTTTCTTTTGCTAGTTTTTAGAGTTGTTAAGTCCAGGAAAGCCTTTTTTTTTTCCATTTGACATACATTAAGATTTTCTAAGATGAAAGCAGGAAGTATATTGTTAAAAAGAATACATTGATGCCATTTAATAATATGTAAAATAATTGCTCTCAGTACTTCCTATCCGGAAAACCGGTTCCTTGCTTGTTGCTTTATTAAAGCAATAAATTATAAAAAAGATGCTTTTTTTGACGTGGGTCAAGTAATCACCTGACAATGCATTTGGTCAACAAACAAACCACTGTGTTCATAGCCGAAACCACTGAAGTTTTTATGCTTTAAAAGACTGTCAAATCCTGTAGAAACCAATAGTTCTTGTATCATCCACCATTCAAAAAACTACACTGCCTTATATTTAAAAAAAAAAAGCCAATTTTTAACCTTTCAAAATTTGGCTACAAAAAAGACTATCGTATTTTTAAATATAACTTTAAAATCATGTAAAAAAAGCTCAAAATGCTTGGTTTATGCTAAAGTTCTTTTCCTAACCACACTTCTTTTGTTTATTAACCAATGACAGTACGTCAAGTTTTACTGCAATATTCAATATTTTCCAAAAAAAAATCAAATAAACTGTTCTAAACTACAGAAAAAATTTAACCGAATCGATTACAAAGAATGTAGTAAAATTTTAAAAGAGACAGCGAATCATTCAAAATGATTGGTTAAACTATTCTACACCATCTGCTTTTAGCCCCGCCTACGATTCTGGCAAGACTGTACTCTAAAATAAAGATGAGCATTTCCTATTCTGTGTCCACCTAAAATATTTCACATGACCATATGATACCATTCCCAAAACAAATAATTCAGTACTTTCCACTCTTTTTCGTTATAACCTCCATTGAGATCTGTGTACCAAAAAAATGATACTACTTTTGACAAATAGATTATCACTATCAAACACAGATTAATAACTTTTGCTCTGCCTAATTATGCACTTGTAGCCTACTGATACTGTACAACTTAGAAATTATTCTAGACGTGCATTCTTCTATAAAACTGCCATATAGGACTTTCTCCTCTTCAAATAAAAACGCTTACACCAACTGCTTAAACTCTCAACATCAAAAAACTATTTAAATGCCAAAAACAAAACAAAATATCTTTTTGTGTATATTAGTGCTTTAGCTTCACAAAAGTTGAAAGTTGAACATACCAAAAAGTAGTCCTTCATACTCACAAGTACCAACTAAACATCGTTTTTTTGGAGCTTCTTTTCGGAGTTGAGAGATCGGTTTAGGTAAAAATTCTCCATCAACATATGGTGCTAACTCCAAACCAATTTTGTTGAAGTTAACGCCATTTTTTCCTAGCAAACCACGTTCAAACAATCTTGGCTGCTTCTTACGCAAAAAATGCAGCAACTGCTCCTGTTTTTCTGGATCTAAACAGATAACACAGTTTACTCGTCTCTTCCTTTTCAGTTTTCCCCCAAAAAATGATCATAATCTATTTTGGTTACTCCTTCTAGACAACAGCAATTTTAGACTCGTAACTATCAAAACGGTCTCTTATATAAGAAAAGAGGGAACTGTTGTGGCAGAACGATCATTGAAATACCTGTTACTGTACCGTTCCATCCAAGTTTACGGGCAAATTTTTGACAAACATTGACAATATGCTGCTTATCGGTAATAGCCCAGGCACATTCGGCATTACCACCCATTGGTATCACCTGCTGGAAGAGGTCTGAAAGGAAGCAAATAGTTGCTGTAAAATGCATCACAGTAACATACAAATTCTTTACCAGGTTATATGTCACACTAATTCCTAATATTAATAAAAGCTTGAGTTTTGAAAAAAAATTTTGATTTTAGTTACTTATCACTGCCTTAATTAACACAATTATATCAGCAACGCCAGTGACGACGTTTTAAGTATGAAAAAAGTGATCTCTTAGCCAACAAATTTAACTCTTCGATAAAACTGTTTACAAACCTCTAGACTCTGGTGACAGTGATAAAAGATCAACGCTGACACCACCAGCACTTTGGCCAAAAACAGTTATTCGATCAGGATCGCCGCTGAATGCAGCAATATTATCCTACAAAACAACAGATGTTCCAACTATCAGTCGACAGCTTCTCAAAATGACTCGAGATAACAGCAGTCAGGCATGATTACTTACTTTAACCCATTTCAGTGCAGCAGTTTGATCCCATAATGCTAAATTTCCCAAACAGTTGCTGTCACCGGTTGTATAGAAACCCAAATATCCCAAACGATATTGTATTGTTACAACAATAACATCATGAAGACAAAGATTTCTGGAAAGAAATTTCCTCTTTGCTATCAATTCTCTCTTAGTATTCTATACGTGAATTTTCAGTTTATCAGATAAGCTATTAGTATCCTTGGAACAAAAAGAATAAAAATAAAATCTATTTCATCCTCTTTCAAAAAAGGAAGGAAAAACTACATAGAATAAATTAGGAAACAGCACTGATGAATTATATCAGTAAAAAGCATTTTTTTTTTATTGCTCTGTTTCATACACTTAATTTGTTGACAGGTTACTATTAATGACCAACCATTGAACTAACATTCCACAGAGGTGAAATTTTTGGTATAAACAGAAGAATAGACAAAAAAGGAGAGAAAAATTTTGTCAATCTTTGGTTTTCTTTTTCTGGTGTTCTTTGTTCAACTAAAGCAATATGGTTTACAACTTACCCCCTCCCTCCATCCCCACTCCTGGAAAAAAAAAAAAAAAAAATGGCGGCACTAAGCAGCAATACGTGTTAACGGAAAAATTTCTTCAAACAGATAATCCCTTTTAAAAAAGAAGGAGCTGTTTGGTGTTAGGAAAAAACGACAACCCAAATAGCTTCTGATGAGTTGTCAGTAGAGAAACTTGTTTAGAAGAAGAGAAAAAAAACGAAAAAAATTGAAAAAAAATGGCTGAAATACAAACATTATAATTTGAAGCAAAGAAAAAAGAGGAAAAAAAGGCGTTGCCAATAGTTGGAAAAAAAAAAGACTGAATGAATGAAAGTTAAAAACGGCAACAACGACAATCAAAATCCTCATATTTCGCTGCGACTGATTTTTTCCCTCTACTCTTCAATGAGTTTCAAAAAATTTTGCAAAAAAAAAGCAGACGGATTAAATAAACTTCCAAAAAAAAAATCTTCTGCTTTTCACTCAGAATTACTTCAACATGCATACGGCACTTCTGAAATTTTACAGTGTATATTTTGATTAAAACTACTTAGCATATAAAACAGAAACTAAACAAGACAGCAGAAGTAGCAACAGCAGTGAAAGGCACAATGCTAAATATAGTCAGAATTGTCGTGATCACTTGATTCAGCGAGCACACAGATTTGTTCACAGCTGCTGTTACTTTTCATGCTTACAGGTTTAGCCCATTCATGACCAGTAGTGAGTTTGTTCATTTTTAATTGATAGATTTCATAGATGGAGAAGCTTCGATGGTGATGATGATGAAATATGAAGGAAAGGCCTCAGCTGATCATTGTATGCAGAAGATCGAAAAGTCTAATCATACACTATGCAGTTAGTTTCTATTTGAAAGCAGCACAATTCTATTTGCTTCAATACTTATTTTCCAACCTTTTAATCGTCATTTGACAACATATCGATGTATTTTGAAGACGGAAATTGTGAGAAGCAGATGCAATGAAAGGCTACTGCTAAAACTGTTCTTCTAAGCAAAATCTGAAGCAGCTGTCGATAATGTACGTTGTTGGAGCAAAAAAAAAAAAATAAAAAATACTTTTGTTCACCTTGAACAATAAAAAGCCAAAAAAACTGGACGTAATTTTCAGCACTAACATGGTAAAATAATGCATATCAATTAACCTACATTTAAGAATCTCTGATTTTTAGCAGTTCAAAACTCTTTTAATTTTTCATATTGTTTGAAAAATGAAAAATGTACTTTTTTTCGTTGTCGTTTTGTATGTGCGCTTTTTTTTTAGTTAACAAACCCTTATTAAAAAGTATACAAACATAGATAAATGTCTAAATGGCACAGTATAATTCTCTTGAATTTTAAATGGTTGAAAGGTGACAAAAAGAAAAGAAAAAAGAAGGAAAAAAGAAAAGAAAAACGAAGAAAAAACTCCTCAAAATGTATGAGGTATTGATGAGAACATCGATGGTCTAGGAGACGAAGAAAAGAAAGACCATAGTAAACCTCCGACAACAACAGTGCAGATGGATTTGTTTCTGAGGAAACGAGAACCGAAACACAAGAAAAAATTTATGAAAACGTCAAGAAACCACTAAAAAAAAGTGGCTTACAAAAAAGTTCGCAGTTACTGCTTAAGATGACGAATTAATAAAAAATGTTTTAAGGTCAATTTCAAATGCTCAAAAATTTTGTAAATGAGAAGCAAAATAGAGAAGAAATAAGTAGTTTTTGCTCAAATATTAATAATAGTATCAAAAATAATAAAAATTATTATTTTATTTATAACTGCTGTTAAACATACGAGCAGATCCCAACATCTCCATATTTGACAGCTGAATCAATCAGAAATGCTCCGCCATGTATGAAAACCATAACTGCGAATCCATTAGGCTAAACGGTTTTACAATAATATCCAAAAAAAAATTGGCGTATTTTTTTTCATTTTTTATTTCCTCCTTTCTCGGCAATTTTTTTTATTGCTGATTCAATAGATTCACTCACTAACACGCAACTTTCCATTATTCACTTATAACTTTATCTTAAATTCAATTTCCGTTTTTTTTTTTT